GTAAACTTTCCACAAGGTAGAAAAAAAAACAAAATAGAAGAGGAAACTCTTCATTTTGTTCTATAAAGCATATACTGAATAACCCCAATACCAAAACTCTAATGATGTTGACTAATACCTAATAAAACATGACAATGTGGGGCACCTGGGTGACTCAGTTAAGCGTCTTAAGCTTCTTCATTTCGGCTCAGGTCATGATCTCGAAGCTGATGAGTTTGAGCCCCATATCAGGCTCTCTGCTGTCCATGTGGAGCCTGCTTTGGATACTCTGTCTTCCTCTCTCCTCTCTCTCTGCCCCTCTCTCTCTCAAAAATAAACATTAAAAAAAATAAACATAGGGGCCACCAGGTGGCTCAGTCGGTTAAACATCTGGCTTTGGCTCAGGTCCGTGAGTTCAAGCCCCAGTCGGGCTCTGTGCTGACAGCTCGGAGCCTGGAGCCTGCCTCAGATTCTGTGTCTCCCTCTCTCTCTGCCTCTCCCCACTTGCACTCTGTCTCTCAAAAATATTTCAAAAAAAATTTTTTTAATAAACATGACAATGAAAGCTATATTTACATATGAATATTAGTATAAAATGTAAGGTGCTAATAACATCAATGAGTTTACGAAAAAACATTTCAGCAGGATCAAATTAATTTTCCAGATTACAGGAAAGCAGGCTCTGAACACGGCAGTACCTGCACAGGGCTGGCCCCTCATAAGTGCTCAACAACATAGGTGTTGAGTGAATCCCAAGAAGGGTACTCTGACATCTTCAATATAACAGGGCTTATCCATTAAAAAACAACATATGATCGTCTATTGAGATATATGCCAAAAAGACATTTGATAAAATTCTGCATGTATCTCTTAAAATACTGCTAGAATTCAGTGAAAATGACCAAGCCCACATAAAAATACAGAACTCTATAGAGTTTGTCAGCAGTAGCCAGAATGAAAATGTAATAAAAACCAGAACACCCACCCCCAGGATTGCAGCAAAAAGAAGGGTATTTCAGAATAATCCTAATAAATGGGAGTGAGGAACATGAAGAAGGCACAAGACTGCACAGAGGTGAAAGAACACCCGCAGACAAGACACTGTTACCCGACAGGAAAGCTCAATTTTATAAGGAGTTTTCTTCTGACTTCACAAACTGACTTAAAGTGAATTTGGTAGGTTAAGTTAGTAAGAATCTGAAATGATCTAAAATGAAAAACGATGAGGAAGGACCAGCCTTACGAGCAAGAAAGTACAAGAGACGAGTTAAAAATACACGGAGGCTGGGCAGCAGTGTGGCCCCGCGCAGTCTCAGCTGGGAAAGATGACGAAGGTATGGAGATGATGGTTGCAGGACAGTGCGAATAAACTTTATGCCACTCAATTGTACACTTAAAAATGGCTAAAATGATATGTTTCATTGTGTACATATTTTGCCACAGTTTGTATAAAACCAGTAGACAGGTCCAAGAGGGCACCTATTATAGAGGAGCATACAGTTTGATGATGTTGGGTAAACGATGTTGACTAGCTGGCTGTCAATCTAGAAAAACAAAGACACACAACTCTCAGAAAATACATATCTGATGGCTTAAATAGCATTTTTAAAACATTTTAAAACTTAGAATAAAATAGAATCTTATACAATTAAATATTTATCAAATATTCAAGGGTAAATTACAGGAGAAAAGTGCAGTGTAATTTGTTGTGTGGAATTAGAAATTTGAATGTGAAACAAAGCAAAATACGGAATTGAGAAAATAACTTGCATTAACAGTTAATATCATTTAGTAAAGACCACACATAAATAAATAAGGGACACACTTAGATTCCAGTATTTAAATGGGCAAAATACATGGAGAGGCAATTTTTATATGTAAAGACTAGAAGGAGTAAATTGGATAAATAAATAAAAGTAAGTTCAACCTTCGGAGTAATTAAAATATGCAAATTAAAGCAACAGTAATACGTTTTATGATTGGTTAGCAAAAAAGAACAATTTGTAGTGTTTTTACAGGTGCCTAAATTCACAGATTATCGACAACCTTGTGTATTTACAACTGTTTATAAAACTATTTGGCAGGATGTATTACGATCCTAAATGCGTTAGGAGAGGAGACTTCTTCCTGCGAGCAGCACTTCCTCTGACACATGAGGAGGGGAGCTGGTAAATTACTGTGTTGCAACCATTGTAATAAAGGCTGGATTGCAGAGTCTTTAGCGGGAGGACAGAGGGAGGTTGATGAGCAGGGTATCTTAATAGTATTAAAATGTTTCCTCATAGATTGTGACAAAAGGTTAGAAAAAGGTGAATTTGGGTAAAAGGTATGTGGAGTTTTTACAACTTTTCCCTAAATTTCAAATTATTTCAAGGTATTTTTTTTTAAATGCGCCCTTTAGGGGCGCCTGGGTGGCGCAGTCGGTTAAGCGTCCGACTTCAGCCAGGTCACGATCTCGCGGTCCGGGAGTTCGAGCCCCGCGTCGGGCTCTGGGCTGATGGCTCAGAGCCTGGAGCCTGTTTCCGATTCTGTGTCTCCCTCTCTCTCTGCCCCTCCCCCGTTCATGCTCTGTCTCTCTCTGTCCCAAAAATAAACATTGAAAAAAAAATTTTAAATGCGCCCTTTAAATTATTGAATATTGTATACCTGAAATTAATATAACCCTGTACTGTTAACTATATTGGTATTAAAAATAAAATAAAAACTAAAACTAAATGCCCTCTTTAATAATCTGTTTCAGGGAATATTATTTATTAAGCCTAAATATAAGTGATATGAATGAATACATTAATCATGAAACTATCCAGTAGGGAAAAGTTGGAAGCAAACTGGAAACGGTTAAATAAATTAAGATACATCCACCTTAAGGGTGTGTCATTTTTCATGATAATCATAAAGGCTGTGAACACTATGGGAAGATGCCTATAATGTTAATTTTTTTTTTTAAGAAAGGAGCAGTATGCCCTATTACTTACAAACAAAAGTATATTGATAAAAAGTACAAGAAAGGAATATATAAATAGGACAATAGTGGGGGTCTGAGTAATTGTCTATCCCTCCAAGTACATAAACTTGTTATATATTATTCTAACTTTATGCTTTAAAAAAAAAATGTTCTAGAGGCACCTGGGTGGCTCAGTCAGCTGACTGAACATCCGACTCTTGATTTCGGCTCAGGTCATGATCATGGAATCGAGCCCCATTTCAGGCTCCGGGGCTGAGCATGGAGCCTGCTTAAGATTCTCTCTCTCTCTCTTCCTCAGCCCCTCTCCCCTACTCATGCTCGCTCGCCCTATCTCTCTCTCTCTCTCATTAAAAAAAAAAAAAAGGTAAAAAGTGTTCTAAGAAAGGAAGAGGGTGGAGATAAAATGGAAACTTGAGAGTGTCCTCCCAAAGGGAATCCAGAACAACAGGAGGTGTGCTAAAGAGGACAGTGCTCCAGAGAGACTGTGAGCAACAGGAAGAATTTAATCTCAGGAACTAGTGTGTGTGGATTTGACCATATTTGAGAACCAACAGAAACTAGCTGATCCTTATGCAGTAGAAAACTCTCGATTGTCTGTCATGTTCTAGGAACTGCTAAGCAGGATTATCAGGTTCATACAGGGTACTGATTATGGCCAAAGAGTTTAAATAAAATCAGTCATTTTGATGGCCCCTTACTCAGGTTAGTCAGTTGCTGTCCTGGAGATGTTAATCACCACCTGGCTTTGACAAAATGTCAGATTAACTGCCTTTAAATATGCTGCTGTTTTTGGCATTGCAGTTTGCATCCATAAACAATCTAAAGGGTTGGATTTTATTTTTTCTGTGGTTAGACCCTGCTTGATATTTGACTCATTGGTCATTGCTGATTCTGGAGTATTTGAGGGTCGGTAGAGACAAAGCCTATTTTATAGAGATCTTAAAAATCCACCTCACAAATGGTCAAGGGCATTCTGTCAAGTGCTGAGCCCCACCAGAGCCTGAATGAGGCAGGAGATATTACAGGCATTGTACTTTCTTATGATTTTCATTTTTAGGATAAAGTTGAGTCTTTTTTCCTTTAAACTTTCAACAAACCATAAAATGAACTGTGAGTGTTTAGAAAAATAGTTGAGCATGTTGTACTGATTGAGCCAACCAGGAGCCACATTTTTCTTTGTCTTTAACCCATTTATTCTTATACCCTTCTTGACAACATATTGCAAGTATGTTTCCTATTTGTATTTTGTTCATAAGTAAAATTTCTCGATTAAAAAAAAAATAAAAATACTTGAAATCATTGTTGACATTCTGATTTTCAAGTATCTGTACGTGTCATTTGGGAGACAAGAGTGACAGTTTAGATCCAATAATATTTATGTTCATTTTATTTTATTTCACTTCACTTTTTACTTTTTTCCTGCACCTCACACTAGCTAAAGTACAAAAACTGCAAGCAGTTTGAGATGGAGGAGAAAACCAGTTTAAAATCAAGAGGCCTGAGTTCTAGTCCTCAGTCGGCTGTGATTTACCATAGCTCCTTGTGCCCCCGAATCCTCTCGGGATCTGTTATCCTCTGTAAAAAATGACGCTGATTAGCTACTCTCAAAGGTCTTCTCCAGCTCCAACATTTATGATGCTGTTATTCTAAGAGAAGGATACGTTATTGCCATTTCATTATGTGATTAAAACAGGTTCATAAATTGCAGTAAGCAGTGTCCTACCTGTGGAATATTTAAAACAAGAACATTCATAGTTTGTAAGGTGCAGAGAGAATAGAAAACATGTCATTGGCTAAAGTTCCACTCAGAGCAGAACGTAGGTGGAAAAGTATACCAGAACTATATGCTAAATAGAATAATCCTAAAGTAACTGTACCTGAAATCTAAACTATTTTAAAAGCTTTAACAAATGGAGGGGAAGGAATTGGTAATATTATATAGAATTCAGTTTCCTTCTGAGATGAGCCAATTTACATTGGTTGAACGCAGGTTTTGTGTCTCGCCTTCAGGTCTGTGGAACTCTGTTTTTACTGTTAAATCTTTGTGCTCCGGCAGGTGGGGTCCGTGGTGGCCGTGGGCTGGATCCGCTCCCGGAAAGCCGTGGACTGGCGCCTCTTCCGGAACATCTTTGTGGCCTGGTTTGTGACTGTCCCCGTGGCCGGGTTGTTCAGTGCTGCTATCATGGCTCTTCTCATGTACGGGATTCTTCCATATGTGTGATTTGTCTTCTTCCGCCCAGTACACAAGGGAGGGTCTGGTGTGGGTATGTGTGGGTGGCGTGTTACACGCACGCTGCCTGCGCACGGGCTGTCTCCCAGCCAGCTTGTCCGTGGCCCTTTCGTATGGTTCCAAACCACACTGTTCACCTACACTGTAGAGAGTCATCCTCCAGAGCTAACTTAACTACTGTACATAATCATGTGCATTAAACTGGTATCGTGGTGACATAACGTGGTGCAGTTACTTATATGTTAAATATATATTGTATACATAGAATAGATAGCATTATTTCAAACATACTCGAAATGGGAGTGGAGAAATATTGTCTAGAATTCAATATTCAACAAATCTTTGTACGGAATGATTTCAGTGGCAAATTTTAAGAACCTTTTAAAAGGAAAGTGTAGATTGGAAAGTGCTATTTTTCCCATTGAATATACTGTAAGATAAGTGTGAATCGGGTTGGATGTACATTTGGGAAGATGTACGTCCGGGGGTGTGCTCTTGAGTAATACTGGGGTAGGAGTTCACAAGTGCTTTCACTGAGGAATTTGTTCATATACTGTGTATTGATTATGTAATATATCATAATTGCCTCTGTAAATACTTAAAACGGTAATTTTTTAATGGTGTGCTTCCCATATACTTTTTTGATCAGAGAATTTTGGAAAGTACCAAAGAAGCAGGGGAATAGTTTGCCAGTATTATATTTTCATACTGTCTTTCTCCCCTTCCCATGAATCCTACTGTTAACCTAGGCTGTAGCGAGACCGCCTCGCCCCGGCCTGCCCCCTAGCAGGGCGGAGGCCGAAGCACCAGCCCCCTGTCACGTGCTCGTTACGAGCATCCTACTTCCTGTCCCCCGCCCCCACTGCCACCACTTGCTAGTTACTGGTGAGCCCTGCAGTGGCCCGTCGTCGTCGTCGTCGTCATCGTGTAGAGAATGTACATACGTGAGGCTGCCCGATCAAGCACCACACACCAAGTCCAGTTTAAATTTTCACCCGTACTCTCCCCTGCAGCCTGAAAAAGCGAATTCTTAAAACACTAAGGCGAGTGAGTTGACATTCAGGAGGGGGTAGAGTTGAAATATCAGACAATACACTGGATTTGAGGATTTCCTTGAGGCCTTTACTAAGCTGAACATCTTGAGGCTCTACTGTAGTCCCACTGGATTCTGTCCTGAAAGCGGGAGGGAGGGAGTGTGAGTGATGCTGGAGCCTGAAACCGTGGAAATGCTGCTAAAATTTTTATATTGACAAACGTTTTCTTGGTACTTCATTGTGATTTTTCATTAATCAACCATATTAAATTTATAATAAAAAATGCCCTTCAAAAGGTTGCCTCTGAAGTCTTTTTCTAATTATTCAATGTTTTTTTGTTCAGTTTCCACAAAAATAAAAGCTACGTAATTTTACTTCTACTTTTCAAATAACTGTATTTTACGACTGTTACATGTTTGTGCAAAAAATATACGTGCTGGGCGCCTGCCTGGGTGGCTCAGTCGGTTAAGCTTAAGGCTAAGCATCTGACTTCTGCTCAGGTCATGATCTCACAGTTTTGGGGGACACCTGGGAGCCTGGAGCCTGCTTGAGATCTGTATCTCCCTCTCTCTGCCCCTCCCCTGCTCACGCTCTCTCAAAAATAAACATTTTAAAAAAATTAAAATAAGAAAGTAAAGGAAAAAATGAGTCACACAACCCAGCATCCTGAAATGCCCACTGTTAGCACGCATGCACACGCACTCCACACACGTGTGCATGCGCACCCCGCCCCCCCCCCCCCCCCTTGATCCTTCAGCAATTTGACGGGAGGGTTTGTCCCGGGATGGGATTTTATTAAAGGGTGTATCACACTTCTGCGTTCAGCCTTGCCCCCTCGACTCTGGAGTCAGCCAGCCTCCTGAGGGGAGGCGGGGCGGGGGTTCCCATGTTCAGCGCTAAGGACCTAGCAGAAAAAGGCGCACCCTCTTCTCGGCTCAAGCAGCCCCAAACAAAATCAAACCTTTGAGCTGAAGCAAACTCCGGCCTCCGCGCAGGGGCCGCCTGCCCCGTCGCCTTCTGGAGCCAGGCAGGTAACAGGCGAGGAAAGCTGACCAGGTGTAAAAAGTTCATCTCCACAGAGAAATTTGCTTTCCGTGATTTTTCAAATGGCATTCTAGGCCTTTCAATTTTACCCTCTTCTAATAAAGCTTTATCAGATTGAAGAAGTTCTATTTCCTCCTAAATTTAAAGAAGAAACAGTCACAGCACAACAGCGCCAGCTGGCAAGCTGCGGTCCAGGGCCCTGGGCCCCAGCGCAGCCCCGGCAGCCAGGGCGGCAGGGACAGAGGCCCAGGAAACGAAGTGGGACAAAGGTCACATGCACACTGAGCCTCCGAATGACTAAGCATGCAGCTCTGTCACCGGCGCACCCCCGCGCAGCCCGTTACCTGACAGAGGGGGCCACTCCCTCCCCTCCCCACGAGGGTACCCGAGGTCCGGCCGAGGATGGGTCACCTCGGAGGGGGAGGGACGCCGGTAAGGGGCTTCCTCGCCCCGGGCCACCTGGAGTCCTTCCTCTGACGTCATCGTAATCAGCCTCTCTCTAAAAATGCAAACACTTCTCTGAGGAGGGGAACTCCGACGACCCTGGCAACTGATTTTGTCACCAGAACACACCCTCTGCTGTCTGGGGCGGAGAGGGGCGCCCTTGGAGACCCTGGCTTCCCTGTGTCCCCGCTCCTCTGGGAGGTTCACAGCGTGCACGGAGCGCGGGCTGTCCACGGGAGCTTGAGTTCCCCAGACAGCCTTTTTATTCCATTTTCTGCCTTTCCAAAAGGACTGAACTTTTGAGCAAATATGTAAACACATTCATTCGTTTTTAACATTTTTTTAAAAAAGTCCTGTCCCCTCAGAATAAGCTGCGGAAAAAAAAAAAATCCATCATTCTGAAAATGGAATGTAAAATTAGACCTCAGTGAATTTATTCAATTACAAATATTCAATTACCGTGCAAAGAGCACCCAAGGATGATGCAGTGTGTTCTGAGTCCTCAGATGAGGTTCAGCCTCACCCTGTGGTTGACCTCGAAGTGCTCCTGCCAAGGTGGTTCCTGGCATCAGGGAGCACCGGGCCCTGCCAGTTCCAGTTTCCTCCCTGGGGACCCCAAGGCCTCCTGTGGGGCTGTAAGGAGTTCTGGGGGACAGTGTGATGAAGGGGGCCACTCCAGGCCTGGCTCAGAATAGGGCTCCATGAACAAGTGTGTGTGTTTGCCTTCCCTTGTGGTTATTCACTGACCACTTTTTGTGGATGGCTCCCCTCAGGTGGGCTGCTTGGAGGAAAACATTAAATTAGATGGAGAAAATGAATAGCAAAGAAGCCACAGTTGAACAAAACAGCCAGAGACCAAAAGATACGGGACGATGGGTTCTCTGCGTGCTTGGTGAGGGAAGAAAAAGATTGGGGGGACCTGTAGGATACGGTTGAATTCTCATGAAGAAGACAGGGAGTCCTGTCCTTGGATCGTCACCTTCTTAAATATTTTCATAGCGCTTCACCCTTTATTATTAAGAAGACAACAAAACAACCCTGAAGCATGCTATGAAAAAAAGGAGAAAGTCACCTACACTCCATCACCCCATGACACTGAAACACCAGTCTTTGGAACACCTGGAGCTGGCCAGGCACTGGAGAAACTAAGGCACAGAATGAGGAAAAGGTCCAGGCAGCCAAATGGTAAGAGGACCAGGCTTCCCCACTGGCCTCTTCCTCTGAGCAGCTGTCAGACTGTGTCCACAACTGTGGCCTCTAGAAAAAGGAGGATAGTGCCATAGGGCTGGGAGGAGGGTGTCCGGAAGGAACACAGCCAGGTGACTAAGAACTTGAAGGAAGCCTAGGAAGAAAAGGCAAGAGGCTTATTCTGACTGTTTTTATAAAGGAAATAGGAATTCAATCTGATTTAAAGTAAGGAGTTTCAGACTTGACAAGTGTGATTGATCATCTGGTCTCCATCTGGACAGGCCAGAACAAATTGAGAACCTAACAGAGCAAGAGGGCTTTGGGTTACAGTAGGATGGCCAATTCCCTTGCCTTACCCGAAGCCTTGACATTTGGTTAAAGCAAGCCCTGAATGTAGACATTCCAAAGTATGAGTCCGTATGGTGCTAGGAAGGGAGTGAGGTCAAAAGGAAGGACCTGCAGGACAGAAGGCCCGGACTCCACAGCTGGGCCATTATCGCCTCTAAGCAGCAACAACAGCGACACCCAGTGGGGTCCAGTGTAATTGCAATAGTGACCATCTTGCCAGAACCTTTTAAAAATTGCAGGTGAAGTCACCTCACAGAATAATTGTATCATAACTCAAAGAGTTGCTAGAAATATCAGTATCTATTTCTTTGATGGCCACAGAAAAAATATGAGTATTTGCCAAAGGGAACCTCAGTCTGTACAGTCAGTATGCAGAAATCCCCATGACTTGGCAGACAAAACCAGGCCCACCTGCCCAAGGGCTCATTTTCATCCATTCAGTAAACATCCATTGGATGTTTATCACGTGTCAGGTATTGGCCTGGCCACTGGAGGTCAGAAGACAAAAAGGCTTCTAAACGTTCACAGGCAGGAGGGGAGGTGGGCAAAACAAAACTGCATGACAGTGTGGTATAAACCTTGGGGAAGCTTTCATGGAAGAGGCAGCGATTTGGCTGAAAGTCCAGGTACAAAGTGGACAGTGATAGCATTGTTCAGTTTGAGAATCGGTGAGTTTTAGATGCCTGCAGACTATCTGAGAAGAGGGTCTGGCAGGCAGCTTGCAGGAAAAGCTTGGAGGTGGGCAGGAGGGCCTTCTTAGATGGTGCTAACTTTGGGAAGAGCTTTAGAGGGCAGCTGTCAGGAAAATGGGCCAGCGACGTGCAAGGGCTGAATGCAGTGGATGTGTAAGGATCGCTAGGAGCTGTGTCAAAGCACATACCCCACTCACCCCAACCCCTCAAGGTTTGGATGTGTTTCCTTGGCAGACAAGCCCAATCTCTGGGAGGAGGTGGGGATTGGCTATGATTAAAAGCACACATACCATGAATGCTGTGCTCCCTTCTCAGTGTCTCCTTCACAGGACTGGCCCACCTTTAGCATCACACTCTGGCCTCTCTTTACCCTTATGTTCCCTCCGCCAGGGGCAAGGGAGTGCATATGGATGGTGTATTTGGGAAGAATGAACTGGGCACGTTGGAGTTAGTTCCTCTCATCTTCCTCTTGGAAGCACAAGAACCCCCTCCTCCATTCCACCTGGAGGAGGACTGCCCTGTCAACTGGGGAGGACTGCAGGGGAGGGGGAGGACTGCCCTGTCAACTAGCCTTCATCTAAAGATACAGCCTTTGGCTTGTATCTGTTGACACCTTGTCCTAATTTACAATTTATTTGAAACCTGAGTGAGAAGGCATGCTGCTGTCATCAGACCACCTTCATTCTGAGAAGGCCCGAGGTGTATCAGAACCTCCGAGGACAGGCAGATGGGACCCGGAACAGTTTCTCACCCGTAACCAGGTTCTAGAGTTAGAAAAGGCTGAGGACAGAAACTGAGTGTCAACATTTAAGTGAGAGCAAACGAAAAGAGGGATTTGAGTCTAAAGGAAAACAGGCAGAGAGAACTGAACCCAAGAGTACACAGAGCATGCACAATCAATCAGAGGCTACAGTCTTAAAGGGACAGATGGGGGTCCTCCATGTGCAGAAAACACAGCAATCTTCATGCATGTGTAGGTAGGTAGGTAGCACTGTAGGGCAGCCAGAAACCACTTCAGCTTAGAACTCCTCCTGTCCAAGGTTCTAGAACCTGAGGCTTGCCCACATTGGTGGTGAGCTTCCAAGGACATTAACTAAATGAAACTTTGCAACATTGTTGTCTTCCTATGTTCCTTAAGCAGTGATGCTGAGTATGATGATGCATTAGCAATACATTGTGTTGTCTTCCTGGTCTCTTGCAGAAGTAATACTTAAAATGTGATGTGTAGGAGCACCTGGCTGGCTCAGTCAGTGGAGCATGTGACCCTTGATCTCAAGGTTGTGAGTTTGAGCCCCACACCACGGGTAGAGGTTACTTAAAAGTAAAATCTTTAGCGGTGTCTAGGTGGCTCTGTTAGTTAAGCGTCCAACTCTTGATTCCAGCTCAGGTCATGATCTCACAGTTCATGGGTTTGAGCCCTGCACCCGGCTCTGTGCTGACAGTGCAGAGCCTGCTTGGGATTCTCTCCCTCTCTCTCTCTCTCTGCCTCTAACCACTCGAACACTTGCCCTCGCCCTCTCTCTCAAAATTTTAAATAAAATCTTTAAAAATTAAAAAAAAAAAGTGATATGTAAACTTTAATC